AAAGATCTGATGTGTCCCTCCTTAACCCGTATAATTTTGTTAAGCAGTGTCACCCCAATAAACTGAGTAAAGAGGAATTAAGATGTGTCCCTCCTTCAGGAGGGTCGGTCAGCAGCAGTGTCCTCATCAGTAAATGGGGTAGAAAGAGGGTCCCTCATAGCGTTAGCATGCGGGTTACATGGGAGGATCTATAGCAAGCACCCAGGGTGCCGTCTGATGGAGGAGAAGCACTCATGAGGGTTAGCTATTGCTGTCACCATCCTTCTCACACTTCCGAGGGGTGCGGGATGGGGGACAGAGGCAGGGAGGGGGCCGGCAGTCTGCTGCAAAACCTGGGGAGGGACAGGGTGAGGCAGTGTGGGTGGGAAGGAGGGGATAAGAGAAGGCAAATGACAGAGCCAGAGCCAGGGGCAGAGAAGCGTGGCCTGGGAGCACTGCAGGGGGCAAGGGAGGCCATCCTTGGTCAAGTCCCTGTTCTGCTGCGGGTTCCCTGGGAGTGCAGGGCAAGGCAGGGCCTGGGTGGTGGGTTGGCCGGAAGCTGGGATTCTTGGATCCTCTTCCCACTTGACTCCTCTTCCCAGTTGTTTAATTTGGCTCAACCTGTGGGAGATGTTCCCCCCCCCCCCCCCCCCCCCCCCGTCCTTCTGCTGCCGGACTTGGGGACCCCGTGGCTGTCTGTCTGTCTGATGTCTGTGTGGTCCGCTCAGGATAATTGCTCTGGACAACTCTAACACCACTCAGACAGATTGGCTGGCCTCCTGGCCCGACATCTCCCACCACTGCATCAAGCCAAATTACTCAGCCCCCCCAGCCCCAGGCTCTGGTGAAATCCGATTAGCAAGGAGAGAGCTGCGCTGAGCTGACAGCTCCTCCGATAATTGCTTCCCAAGTAAGCGATGCAAATCAGCCCATCCAGCCTGCCCCTGCTCCTCTCCTGGGAACCCAGGCATCCAGGCCCCAGGAGAGGAGCACAACTGAGTTGGGGAGACTTGGAGGCTGTCACCTGCCTCCAGTGAAGCGGCCATCAATCCATAAAGCTCATCTGTGCTGGCTTGGGCTTGGAGATGGGGGCGCTGGGGTGGTGAGGGTGGACCAGGGACCCCCTAGCTCTGCATTTCTGTCTTAACAGAGAGTGGCACTCTCCCCCTCCTTCTCTCCCCTTGGAGAAGAATCCTATGTACCCATTTCCCAGTGAGGTAGATGAAGGCAGAGATACAGAAGACACAGAGACAGGGAGATGGATGGCTGAACTGTTAGGGAACAAATGAACCCTGTCACAGGCTGATTCTCCTGGTTTTCTAATTCTAGGAGGGAGGTGGGAATGGGGCCGTAGGACCCGCGGAGAGCTGTCTGCATGTGTGAGTCCCCTCTGCACCAGGTTGGGGGAAATACTTTGACGGTTAAGTCCCCACAGAGCTGGGAAGAGGCTGTGATACCATATATCTTGGGAAGCTTGCGGAGCCCGACCAAAGCCGGAGACTTTGTGCCTTACTGGGATGCAGTGACCCTTCCTCACCCCACACCTCAGGGACCTCTCTCCACTGCCCTACATTAGGTCCCTTTACAGGCCTGTTAACATCTTCCCTTCCTATATCTTTATCTCAAGTTCTTTGTTTCTTTGACTCTGTCATCCCATCTCTGCTGATTTTGGAGACCTTAAGTACTTTCCTTGCGGTCATGAACTCCCAGCGCCCAACCCTAGCCCGTATGGGGCACTGTCTTTGTAGAAATAGCCAGGGACAGGGACCAGTTGCCTGTCTTGTCCTCTGTGCCCGTGTGTCTGTCATGGCTCTATGGCCTGGTTCCTGGGGCCCCAGACTAGCATCTGCCTGAGAACCTGGCTCATGGTCATAACAACAACTAACCGTATGGAGCATCGATTCTGTGCTGGACACCATACTAAGCACATTATGTAATTGAGTCATTTAATTATCACAAAAGAGACACGGATTACAATGATCATCCCATTTCACAGCTGAGTTAAGTGAGGCACAGAGAAGGTAAGTAGTTGTCCAAGGCCACCACTCGTAAGCTGGCAGAGCTGGGATTCAAACCCAGGCAGTCTGAGTCCAGAGCCCACATCTAAAGGCCTCTGCGATGTCACCTCTCCTCTCCAGTGCTCTTTCCATGTTTACTGGGCTGACTGCCAGGGGGTCACTGCCCAGGGGAGTGGAGCTGGGGGGAGATGGCTCCACTGAAAGTCAAACACTGAAAACCTTTGGGGTTCCCCGGGCCAGAGGTGGTGGGAGCTGACACGGGTGACACCTGGTATTTGGGGAGGGGGAAACATGGCCCTCACTTCTGCAAATATCTATTTCTGCGCTGGAGCAGTGCAGCTAGACAATTTCCCCTCCTACTCAGAGCGTGGAGGCAGGGGAAGGGCTGAAAGATCGAGTCAGAGCTATGACCGCCAGAGGCCGATAGATGGCGCTCATGGCCCAACACAGCCCAGGCAGCCCACGGAAACCAAAGGAAAACAAGCCTGAAGTTAACCCCTTACCGCCGGCGCGCAGGCCCCAGGAACAGGCTGATGGGTGGCGGAGGGCCCTGTCCCAAGACCGGCTGGCCCCTAAGGAACGGCCCAATTCTCTAGGCTCCGTCCAGGCCACAGCTGAGTCTGCTTCTATCCATAAGGCTCTATCCATAAGCCAGCAGCCAGTCACTTGGAGATTTCCCAGAGGCCAGGAGTCTAAGACAAGGACAAGGCAGGTTGTGAGGGCCCCACCTCAGCCCAGTGCATCTCTCAGGCTTTGTCTCTGGAAAGTTTATGGGTGTCTATTTCTAAGCATGGAGGTGTGGAGCCCCTCCTTCCATCTTCCCTCAGAGGGACCCACTCGGTAGGGAGGAGTAGCTTAGGCTAGGGGCAGAGAAGGGTCCCAGGTCCCCCTTGGGTCAGCTATAGGGACTCACTGTGGGTTCCCCAAAACTCAATTTCTTCCTATGTCTGGACCCCTATCTCTGGGCTCCTTGGGTGAGTGGCCTTACAGGGACACAAACAGTTATCCAAGTCTTCCAGGAAGTTGAAATTGGGCCTGGGGTTCTAGGGATCTCCATTTGTCTGTCACTCACTTCACTCAGGTCCGAATGTCTGACTTGCAGTGTGTAGGGGCTTCCGTGATGAAAAACCGGAAGTGCTTGGCAAGCAAGTGGCAGAGGGGTGGGGTGGGCAGGAAGGTTGTCTAAGGGATGGTGAAGCTCCTAGAATTCTTAAACACTGTTCCCCATTTCATACTAATTTTTGTTAAGAAACACACAAGTACATAGATGTACAGAGATAGAGGCACCTGCGGGAGGTGTCAGTTCTGGAAGCTCAGGGTACTCTTATTTCAGTCATTCCAGAGAAAAGGAATGAAGCAGATACAGGGAAATAGATGTACACAGAGAGAGATAGAGACACACAGATTAGAAGAGGCTAGAGATAGAGATAGAGATAGAGATAGATTTATTTGGGGAGAGAAAGGCCAAGACACAGAGAGGGAGAGACTCTGACACAAATGAAAGCTCAGGGAAGTAATGGACTTTGCCATATGCATGAGTAATTAAGTTTCCAAAGTCTTGCAAGGTTGAGAGTAGTTTCTCACCTTTGGTGTCAGTGTGTCACTGCTCATAGTTCCCTGAAGCTCCTGCTGCACCCATTCATTTTTTGTCTATTAGTAGGAGAGCAGGGGAGGCTTGGGAAGGGGGTAGCATCCTTGTTTTCTCACTTCTTCCTGTTCTGGGTTTATTGGTCTCCTTCCTTACTACCTGCAGGGAGACCTGGCTTCTTCCTGATCTCGGTCATGGCTGTGCTGATGTGTGCAGGGGATGGAGGTGGGAGGGTTCTAGAAGATCGCTGATTTCAGGGGGTTCCAGTCTAATGAAACAGAGACAGACCCAGACAGAGGACAAGAACAAAACTATGAGTGGGACAGCTTTGCACGCTGGCATTGGGTTGGGGAGGTGGGAAGGAATGGACTATTAGGAATGCAGCCATGGGATTGCGATGGGTCAGGAGTGGTGTCCTGGATATAGTATTTGAAGGGGAGGGTTGGGAATGATGGGAGGTTATAAGGCTGGGCAAATAGTAGTGCAGAGGGGAGAGAGAAGTCAAATGGTAAAGCCATGGAGACTCAAAGCCATTATTACGACTTGTTAGCTGCCCTGCCTGGCTGGTGTTACTCAGCGGTTGAACATCCACCTATGTATGAACTAGGAGGTCACAGTGTGATTCCCAGGCAGGGCACATGCCCAGGTCGTGGGCTTGATTCCCAGGAGGGATCGTGCAGGAGGCAACTGATCAATGATTCTTTCTCATCATTGATTTTTAAAATAAAATATATTTTTATTGATTTCAGAGAGGAAGGGAGACGGAGGGATAGAAACATCTAAGATGAGAGAGAATCATCTATCAGTTGCTTCCTGCACACCCCACATTGGGGATCAAGCCCACAATCCAGGCACGTGCCCTTGACCAGAATCGAACCTGGGACCCTTCAGTCCACAGGCCGATGCTCTACCTATTGAGCCAAACCAGCCAGGGCTCATCATTGATGTTTATATCTCTGTCTCCCTCTCCATTCCTCTCTGAAATCAATTATATATATTTTAAAAAAGGAGTTGTTAGGAGATGACAGAAGTGCCTCTGTGGATGTTCTACATACAGTCCTAGGAGGGCTGCAAAGGAGAGGTCTCTTACACCTGGGGCAACCAGAGGGCTAGGAATGGTTTTTAACCATGTTAATACCCTCAGGTGGGTTGGGAGGTTGGGGATTGTTGAAGCTCCTTGATTCTTAACCCCTTTGGGGAAAGTGTTGTGGATGAGCTATGGAAGGTTGATGCCTTAGGGCTAGAACCCAGGATCTTCGAGGTCCTTAAAAAGCCTGGCCCTCACTTCTCAAATGTTGTTGATTCAGCCCTGAAGTAAAGAATAAACTACAACCCCCAGCATCGCTTAGCGCTAATTTAGCACGCTTTCCGGGGACTTGCGCATTTCCGGCGGAAGTGGCCGCGACTACGCCAATCTCCTTTCCTAAGCAGAGCGGACTACGATTCCCACTGTCCTCCGCGCCCGGGGGCGGGGAAAAGGACTCGGAAACCGGATGGGCAGCTGAGCCAGGTGAGGAAGTTGTAGCCTAGAACCCCGGGGCGACCGGGGCAGGCTCGGGGTTTACGCGGCTTCGGGGTGGCGGCAGGCGGAGAGTCGGGATGTCTGCGTTTTGGGGCCCCTCGCGCTGTTCCATCCGGCGCAGGGAGCGCGCAGCCCTTGGAAGCCTGGAGGCCTGCGGGCCGAGGCTTTCTCGTCGGGCGCACGCGGAGGTTTCTTAGGGAGCCTTAGTCTTCTGCCCCCTCGGAGCCAGGAGCAAGGATGAAGTGGTATTTTTGAGCGCGTGCTCTGTTATCTTTATTATAATTATTGGTTTTAGTGTCAGAAAGCCTAGGTGTCCAGACTTCTCGCTGGGTCACCCTCCGCTTCCTCTGCACTTAATGTGACACGACACTGTGATTTATAAAGCATCTACCAGTATGTGCCTTAAGTCTCTGGCCCTTGATGACTTTAGATAGTGCCTCCAAGTTCCTCTTTTGGGCTCTTACAGTGTTTTGTTGGGGACATTAAAGCTCCAACCACAGTGTGTCACAGTTGTTTATCTGTCATCTCAGTGGTTCATGAGCCTGGCCTACGTTGTTTTTTTCATTTGGGATTTCTTCCCCACCAAGAAACAGACTATTACAGTACCTATCATGTAAAAGACTCATACATATTGAAAAAAATAAACCTACTGGTGCTAGGTTAGGTGGAATTTCTCATTTTCATTTCATAGAGTTAAGTGACTCTCTAGAGCAGTGGTTCTCAACCTTGGCTGCACCTTAGCATCACCTGGGAATCTTTTGAAAATCCTGGTTTCTGGGCCTCATCCTCCGGAAATTCTGTTTCTTAGTTATGGGGTGAGGCCACAACATTAGTAACAGAGAAACAGAATTTCCGGAGGATGAGGCCCAGAAATCAGGATTTTAAAAAGATTCCCAGGTGATTCTAATGTGCAGCCAAGGTTGAGAACCACTGCTCTAGAGAGAACCTTCTTAGAGTTGAAACCTGGACTAGAACTTGAGTCAGATGACACCCATTCTGTGGCTCTTGCTGTCAGATCAGGCTTTGAAACCCTGGAACACTGAAATAACCCTTGTCACTTTGTGTACCCCCAGCCTTGCTGTCTCCAGCATAGGTCTCTGAAATCAAAGGTAGGTCCCACTTACGGCCGAGAGAGATCCCGCATCTGGAGCAGCCAGTCCACTGATGTTGGTGCTACCTGGGGAGAGGCAAAGCAAGAGCCTCTGAGGCATTGGAGCCCTCCCCAGCTGCCTTCTCAGCATGTGCCTGAGGCCAGTTGGCCCCGGGTAGCCAGCTGGATAGATCAGTTAAAGAATTCTGAGACCAGACGGGGGAAGGAGTTCCTAAGTTTGGCCCCTGATTTTTTCCCCTCTCTTCCTCCAGGCTAGGGTCAGAGAACAGGTTGATGGATCAAGCTGTTGTGTCAACGTTGAGTTCCTATCTGGGTTACTCTTAACCTGGGCCAGGGGTTGAGAGGGAGAAAGAACCATGGTCTATGCTATGGGAGGTCCAGACCTGATGGAAAGCCCCAGAGCCTGGCAAGCCCTGGGAAGGGGCAGAGTACAAGTGGGCAGCTGAGCCTTCAGCGAGTCAGGATGTAGAAGTGGAGCCGAGTCCATCAGGAACGGCTCCTCGGTAGGAGGTAGTTTAAATAGGGATGGACAGAGCTGAGCAGGTATTCGTTGGCTACTTAGTAAGAGCTAAGACCGTGCAGATATGGAGGGAAAGTGACCAGTGACTGGCCTCTGATCTCAAGTACATTGAAGAGGGAGGTATATGAATTTATGAAGAAACTACTAACCATGGTGACACAATGGTTCTCAGCCTTCACCAACCATCAGAAACACCTGGGGAAGCTTGTCAAAAATACAGATTCCCAGGCCTTGTGCCAGATTACTAAGCTTGCTTGAATACTCCCTCTGCTTTCTCCCTTCTTCTTCCCTCTCTTCTTCTTCTCTTCCCCCTTCCCCTTCCTCCCCCTTTACATGCAACATCTCATTCTTTTATATTATACTAGAGGCCTGGTGCATGGATTCGTGTACTGGTGGGGTCCCTTGGCCTAGCCTGCAGGGATTGGACTGAAACCAGCTCTCTGACATCCCCTGAGGGGTGCTGGATTGCGAGAGGGTGCAGGCCAGGCCAAGGGACCCCACTGGTGCACGATCGGGGTTGGGGAGGGACTGTGGGAGGGTTTCAGGGCGTGTCCGGCCTGTCTCTCCCAGCCGGGATCTCGCCCAGTCCAGGCAAGATCCCTACCGGTTGGAATGTCTGCCCCCGGTGGTCAGTGCGTGTCATAGCGACCAGTCGAATGACTGGTTGAACACTTAGCATATTAGGCTTTTATTATATAGGATTTTTAAAAAATATGTTTTTATTGATTTCGAAGAGAGTGAGAGAAACAAAAGAGAGAGAATCATTGATCAGCTCCCTTCTGCATGCCCCCCACTGAAGGTTGAGCCTGCAACCTGGACCAGGAATGGAACTGTGACCTCCTGGTTCGTAGGTCAACACTCAACCACTGAGCCACACCAGCTGGGCATATTAATATTATTTTAAAGTAACTATTTTTCAAATACAGTTTACATACAATAGTATATTATTTTCAGGTGTACACCCCAGTGTTTAGACATTTATACAGCTTATGAAGTGATCATCCCGATAAATCTAGTACCCATCTGACACCATACAGTTATTACAATACTATTGACTATTTTCCCTATGATGTGCTTTACATCACCATGACTACCAATTTGTATGTAATCCCTTCAGCTTTTTCACCCATTCCTCCAACACTTCTCCCATCTGGCAACCATCAAAATGTTCTCTGTGTCTATGAGTCTGTTTCTGTTCTTCTTGTTCGTTTATTTTGCCTTTTAGATCACGCATATAAATGAAATCACTCTTATATCAACATTATTAAGTGAATGTTGTTATTTTTAGTATTTGGATGAGGAATCCAGAGACTGGCTCTGGTTACATTGCTTGTAAGAGAGTCTGGTAGTCATCCCACTTACCACTGAGGATTCTTGAATGTGGGCAAGAAGCTGGACTGGGCTGGGGAGGTTGTAGAATTAGCAGGGGTGGCTGAGTGAATCATCTAAGGCAGTGGTTCTCAACCTTGGCTGCACGTTAGAATCACCTGGGAATCTTTTTAAAATCCTGATTGCCGGGCCTCATCCTCTGGAAATTCTGTTTCTTTGTTGCTAATGTTGTGGCCCCACCCCATAACAAAGAAACAGAATTTCCGGAGGATGAGGCCAGGAAATCAGGATTTTAAAAAGATTCCCAGGTGATTCTAATGTGCAGCCAAGGTTGAGAACCACTGATCTAAGGCAAGATGGTTTGGGTGATTCAGGGCTCAGTCTTGAGTCCGATAGTTTGGGTTCAAATCCCAGGTTCATGACTTGCTAACTGCATAACCCTGGGCAAGTTGCTTGATCTTGCTAAGCCTCAGTCTTCTCACCTGTAACATGGGAGCAATAATACCCATCTCCTGGGGTTGTTATGAGTATCCATGGGGTGTATCTGGCACGGAGCACTTGCTTACCACCTGGAAGCTATTGCAATTAGCCCTTAGTAATTAGTCTCTGAGCTATGGCTTTGCACCTGCATCTCATTCTTCAGCACATTGGTTCCCAGGACACGGCTCATCCTGGCTGGGCTTGTTTTGTTAGGGGGACATCGAAGGTGCTGAAATTTTGCCACCAGTAGACATTTATTGGAAACTTACCGTAGCTTGCCATGGTCTAGGACAGAGATGGCGAACCTATGACACGTGTGTCAGAGGTGACACGCGAACTCATTGTTTTGGTTGGTTTTTCTTTGTTAGATGGCATTTAAATATATAAAATAAGTATCAAAAATATAAGTCTTTGTTTTACTATGGTTGCAAATATCAAAAAATTTCTATATGTGACACGGCACCAGAGTTAAGTTAGGGTCTTTCAAAATGCTGACACGCTGAGCTCAAAAGGTTCGCCATCACTGGCCTAGGAACAGACTCAAGACCTAGCCTGATGGAAAGGAGGCTTGGAGTGGGGGATGGGTTATTCACACCAGGTGATGAGTGAAGGGGAAGAGAAGAGGTTTTTTCATTACCGAGAACTGAGATGAGCTTGGTCCTGCCTGGAGGTTGGGGATGACTGATACAGTCTCTTCCGAGTCCAGGAAATGGTGGTGGAGCCTTGGCCGGTCTGGATCCCTCCCACTCTAGGGCTGAGGGGCCTCTGTCCATCTCTCTTCCAGGTGACGGTGACATGGCTGTGCCCCAGGCTTTCCCACCGGGGCCCCTCCATGAGCCTGCAGGTACCTTGGTGGAGCCCCAGCTCTGCCCTCGAAGCTTGGCTGAGGGCTTCCTGGAGGAGGAGCTTCGGCTCAATGCTGAGCTGAGCCAGCTGCAGTTTTCTGAGCCTGTGGGCATTATCTACAATCCTGTGGAATACGCGTGGGAGCCTCATCGCAGCTACGTGACCCGCTACTGCCAGGGCCCCAAGCAAGTGCTCTTCCTGGGCATGAACCCGGGGCCCTTTGGCATGGCCCAGACTGGGGTAAAGGGCTTGGCTGTCCCTGGTGGGTGGAGTGGGAAGCTCCAGGGGGATGCTTGGCTGCATGTGCTGTGGAGGAGGAGTATGTGTGCGGCTGTGGCCGTGCGGGTGTGCGTGGCTCCCATCCCTTCCCGATACACACTGGCTCCTGTGGGTCTCAGACATCCTCCTGGCCTCACTGCCCGTCGTTAACCAAGGACATTAATGGTAGTTCCGTTTCCTCCGTGAGCTGTCCGCTAATTGCCTCCGAGAGCCCTTCCTTCCGCCAGCCCCATCCTTACCTTACCGGATCTCCCTTCTCCCTAGAATGTGGTTGGGATCAGGAGAGGGACCAGGACTACTGGGCCCTCAGGAGAGACTGCTTGGCGGGTCGGTATGGAATCGATGCAGCGTATTCAGGCAGCCTGGGCTCTGTTTCTTAGCTGAGGAGAGGTTCAGACCAGCGCAGGCTTCAGGGTCTGCCTGCGTATCTCTCAGGCCCCGGGATGAGTGACTGCCCCTTGGTGGGGTGCTTGGCAGGTGGGGGAGGGGAAGAGGCTTCAGGGCAGGAGGCTCAATCGCTTTTATTGACCCCAACTGGGGGATGAAAGGTGGTCAATGATGATCGATGGAAATGACAGCCTGAGGCTTGGGGCTGAGAGGGCACCCAGAGAGCAGTGGTCAGCCCTATCCTTGTGCCTCCTCTAACCCTGGCAGCCTCTCTGTCTCAGACCATCCATTCGTCCTCAGTCCTACCCATCAGGCCTTATGAAGGGCCCGGTATCCCCGTGAACTCCCTGTACGTGGTCCCAAGGGCTAGTGGGGGTAGAGGCAAACAAATAGGTCTGGACCACAGTCCACAATGGAAAATTGGAGAAAGGGGACAGGATCAAACCACAGGACCAGGAATCCTAGTCTCAGGCCTTCGGGTGGGTGGGGAGAGGTATTCAGGCTAGATCCTCATGGAAAGTGAAAAGGGGTCAGTTGGTCCAGAGAACCGGTGTCAGGTCTCCAGTTGGAACCGTCATGTCTCTCTCCTCCACAGGTACCCTTTGGGGAAGTGAGCGTAGTCCGGGACTGGTTGGGAATTGGGGGCTCTGTGTTGAGCCCTCCTCAAGAACACCCTAAGCGACCAGTGCTGGGGCTGGAGTGCCCACAGTCAGAGGTGAGTGGTGCCCGGTTCTGGGGCTTTTTCCGGAACCTCTGTGGACAGCCCGAGGTTTTCTTCCGCCACTGTTTTGTCCACAATCTGTGTCCTCTGCTCTTCCTGGCTCCCAGTGGGCGCAACCTCACCCCCGCCGATTTGCCTGCCAAGCAGCGAGAACAGCTTCTTGGGCTCTGTGACGCGGCCCTCAGCCGGCAGGTGCAGCTGCTGGGGGTGCGGCTGGTAGTGGGCGTGGGGCGGCTGGCGGAGCAGCGGGCACGGCGGGCTCTGGCTAGCCTGATGCCCGAGGTCCAGGTGGAGGGGCTCCTGCACCCCTCCCCTCGGAGCCCACAGGCCAACAAGGGCTGGGAGCCAGTGGCCAAGGAGAGACTGAATGAGCTGGGGCTATTGCCGCTGCTAACAAAATGAGCGTCCCTGGGGCCTGGCAGAGGGACACATTCAAGGCCCCCAGGTCCTTCTTGGGCGAGCAGATGACTACACGCCTCCTGGACCGGAGCAGGAAGATCCTCCTCGGGTGTCTGGTTGCTGGGACCTGCCACAGCAGTTTTGACACTATTCCGGCTTGCTCTCCTGATTCCCGCCTTCTTCCCCTTCCTTTGAGCACTGCCTTTTTGGAACCGAACGCCACAGAGAGGCAACACCTGCAAACTGCTTACTTCACTGTTTCTTTGAGAGCCTCTGTTCAGCTGAGTGACCTCCAAGGTCTTATTTGCTATCTCAGAGAAAAGATCCTGCCAGGATGCGCACCCATTCTCAGGGAGGAGTGTCCTTCAGCTGACCCCTCTCCTCACAGGGACCAGGACAAAGCATGGGGCATGGGTATTAAGAATGAACCTACGGAAGACTGAGGCTGGATCAGAGAGAGGAAGAATTCAGTGTGGCAGCGTGGGGAAGGCTCGAAGACCTGTTGAGACTTGTGAACTTGACTTTGGGCGTGTTGATTAACCTCTTCAAGCCTTGGGGTCCTCATCTGTAGCGTGGGGATCCCTACCTCATGGGGTTGGTGTGGGGATTAACTGAGATAACACTTAAAGTGCCTTGTGTGGTACCTGGCACATAGATGCTCATTACACCTCTTTTTTCTTGTCTCCGGTTGGGGGGTCCCTGCACTACAAGGGAAGCCCCTCCACTTGAAGGCCGTGGGGAGAAGTCTCAGCCTCCACCTGTGGCCTGGGTGAGGGCAGACTTGCCCTGCCAGGGATGGACCAATGACTTTATGAAAAACCCAGCCTGTGATTTTTCAGTCTAAGCATTAAAAGCTCCTAAATCTTTTTGTGTTGGTGCTTTTTCCCTGTCCTGGGAACATGACAGGGGTGGAAAGTGGTAGTTTATATTTTCCCTCCTACCTCTTCACTGTTGGCAAAGGGCAGCTGGGGGGTGATGTAAACATTTCCAGTTGCCTTACCAAATCAGCAGGCCTCTGCTAGAGGCCTGTCCAGTGGCTTGTCTTCTGCTCCGGGCGCTCTGGGGAGCAGGTGGTGGGTGGATGGGAACCTGGTGTTTCCAGCTCACTCATTTCTTATGTCTGTTGCATGGCTGGCTGGTGTGCCCATTTGGCAAGGGTTGGGAAAGTGAATCAAGCTGGGAGCAGAGAAGGTCCTGAGACCACCTTAATGAGGAGCACACGGGCTCTTCTGGGACAAGTCATCTCCAGCTTTCAAAATTACGGCTTTTACTATAAGTGTCTGAGTCTCCCCTGTTCTCTACACCCCAATTATATAATAAAGAATTTTACTGGTCTTTGTCCTTGGTTCTTTAGAGGGAGCCTCTAAATCCTTGGACTTTCCCAAGTGATAGGAATTTCTGTTATTCATGGTGGATCCCTCAGACCACACCTGAGTTTATGATGAAGTTTGACTCAGGATGAGGGTGACCATGCCAGAAAGACCAACCATGTGATTAGAGGGTTGGGGCTTTGAGTCAGGTGATATCAGCCTCCATGGAGCAAAGGGGGCTAGAGATTGAGTTCAACCATGTGGCCAATGATTTTATTTTTCTGTATCCAAAATGCTTTTATAAAAGAATATAAATACAAAATGATTTTTAAAATATTTTTATTGATTTCAGAGAGGGAGAGAGATAGAAACATCAATGATGAGAGAGAATCATTGATTGGCTGCCTCCCGAACGCCCTCCCTCCCCCCTACCCGCACTGGGGATGGAGTTCACAACCCGGGCATGTACCCTTGACCGGAATTGAACCTGGGACCCTTCAGTCCACAGGCTGAGGCTCTATCCACTGAGCAAAACTGGCCAGGGCAATGATTTCAATAAGTGATGGCTACATAGTGAAACTCTAATAAAAACTCTGGACACAGGCTTTGGTGAGCTTCCTGGTTGGTGGACACATGGATATGTTGGGAAGGTGATGTGTCATGATTCTGTGGGGGGAGGGCACGGAAGCTGTTTTGGATCATCCCGGACCTTGCCTTATATGTTTGTTCATTTGGCTGCTTGTAATTGGTATCCTTTATAATAAACTGTAATTGTAGGTAAAGTGCTTTACTGAGTCCTGTGAGTTATTCTAGCAAATTATTAAACCTTAGGGTGTCATGGAGACCCCTGAATTTATAGCCAGAAGTATAGGTGGCCTGGGGACCCTCGAACTTGAAGCTGGCGTCTGAAATGAGGGGAGTCTTATTTGGGACTTTGCCCTTAAACCTGTTGGGCGTGGGCTAACCCCGGGTAGTTAGCATCAGAATTGGGTTCAGTTTTGCAGCCCCACATGCCTTAGCCGTCTTTTCCTCTCTCTGCTCTTAAGCTATAGTGCAAGGAGTCATTGCCCCATGTTGCAGAGCACTGGCGTAGGCGCTGTGGAGAACTTCCCAGGATGGGAGCCGTTGTTCCCTTAGGCATTGAGCTGAGGCAGTCAGGGAAAGCATTCTGAAAGAGGTGGCATGTCCAGTGGCCTTAGAGAATGGGAACGTTTTGGAGAGCGTAGAGAAGAGTGTTGTTATGTTCAAGGGGTGGCAAATAGATTAGCATTGACTTGAGCCAGTTGGGAGGAAAAACAAGAGGGAAGTTGGGGACAGTTTACCTGGTATGAAGGGTCTTGAATCCTAGACTAATTTTTAGAGACTTTAAAGTACAGTTGGGGGAGTAGGATGCACAAGAAAACACCGAATAAGTGGAAACCCACAGATGGTAGAGTCACTATTCTTGGGGTGCATCTTGTCAGGGAAAGGTTAATTAGGACCCTGGCACTGCCCTTTCCCAGGCGCACTGGGTTAGTCTGCCGCCATAACGAAACACCACCGCTGGGTGGCTTCAACAACAGAAATGTATTTGCTCATAGTTCTGGAGGCTGGAAAGTCCAAAATGCAGATGTCTGCAGGTTTGGCTTCTGCGGCCCCTCTCCTGGGCTTGCAGATGGCCATCTTCTCCCTGTGTCCTCCCATGGCTTGTTCTCTGTGTGTGCACCTCCCTGGTAACTCTCTTCTTATAGGGACACCTGTCCCATTCATCCCACCTTCTGACCTCATTTAACCTTTATAACCTTTTTAAAGGCCCTACCTCCAAATACAGTCCCATTGGGGGTTAGGGCTTCAACATATGACTTGGGGAACACTGTTCAGTCCATAATAGGTACCTAAAGTCAGGTCACTACTTTTTATGTCCCCCACCAATATCAACCTCTAACAAAAGAGGGTGCTCAGGCGTGCTTTTCTCCAGGCCAGGGGTGAGGGTCGGGGAGAGGTGGTGATGTTGAGGCTGGTGAGGTAGCTTAGCTAGCTGATAGGACTTAACCCACAAGACTGGCCCCTCCCCCCAATTCATCTAGAGCAGTGTTTCAATGTAAGTGTCCCTAGGAAAGGGAAGCTCATTGTCTTCTCCTGAGCCAAAGGGAATGGACACTTCACCTGTTACAAAAGTATCTTCCAACCAAATTGAAGTGATTTTGGATCATCTAGAGCAGTGGTTCTCAACCTTGGCTGCACATTAGAATCACCTGGGAATCTTTTTAAAATCCTGATTTCTGGGCCTCATCCTCCGGAAATTCTGTTTCTTTGTTATGGGGTGAGGCCACAACATTAGAAACAAAGAAACAGAATTTCTGGAGGATGAGGCCCAGAAATCAGGATTTTAAAAAGATTCCCAGGTGATTCTAATGTGCAGCCAAGGTGGGGAACACTGATGTAGACTTTTACAGTCCTATATAATAGGCACTAGCCACGGGTGGCTGTTTAAATTTAAATTAATTAAAATAAGTAAAATAAAAAGTTCAATTCCTTAGTCACTAGTTTCAAGTACTCAATAGCCACACGTGGCCAGTGGCTACTGATTGGATGGCACAGATAGGGAACAGTCCATCGTTGCAGAAAGTTCTATTGGACAGCACTGATCTAGAGATCAGTGGCTTACAACCCTGCCCATGGATCAATTCACCTGTGGAGGTTTTAGAAAAAAGCGTCTCAGCTCCATTTAAGAGATTTTGATTTGGGAGGTCTGAAGTGCAACCTGGTATCTCTTCCCTTTGTACTCTGTGTAGGCAGCCAAGATTAAGGCGGGATGGCACTAGTGCCTTGAAGGCAAGAAGTGAGTGTCTTACCTTCCTTTTGCCAGTATGCAACCCCACGCCTGGCACAAAGTAGGTGTTCAGGACACATTTGCAAATAATGCATGAATGTTGTTTTGGAGACTTCCCCCAGGTGCCTAGGCGATAACATGCGGGTCCCCAGGGTTGTTGCTTTTTCCAGTGATGACGATTCAAATTCTGGTTCAAAGGAGTGATAGAGGCATAAAAAGTCTTACCCCAACACACACACACACACACACACACACATGCGCGCGTGCACACACGCACACCGTGTTAGAGGCCACACTGTGCATGGGCAGGAGTGGCACTGAGATTCTGAGGGATGGAGTATGTTTGGGAAGGAAGACACTTCCTCCTCTTGTTCCCTGACTGAAACAGGACGGCTTAAAGAAAGACTGAGTCTTGAGTTGACTACTGTGTGGCCCTTCATTTTCCTTTCTCAATTCAAAAACACTTACCGATGTCCGCTCTGTGTCGTCCCCCACACTAGGCGCTGTAGATAGTGACAGAGGTGAATTAGGTGGTTCTTTGCCCTCACGTTGCTCACTGTCTGGTGTTGGGAGATACAGGCATATAATTATAGTATAAATCAGGTGGGAAACGTGTTGTGAACAAGTTCTAAACAGTGCTCTGGGCACACTGACCGAGGAAGCGATCAGTCCTCAGAAGGTGGGGAGGAGGTGTGTGTGCCTGTGAGCCAGGGCAGTGGTGGGAGAGTTCTTCTCTCAGCACTTGCTGAATCTTGCTACTTTCATGGAGTGGCTCTTCAAAAAGGGGGCCTCTGTGTCATCTCTCTCCAAGAATTTCTCAGCCCTGACTGCAAGGAGATAGAAAACAGGATGAGGGGAGGAGCTCCAGCGCCAGGAAATGGCAGGAACTAAGGGTTGGGCGTGGCTCTCTGGGAGACAGGAAGTGGGGCTCTCTCTTTGATCTCTTGTTCTGTGAACCTCTGTGATGGAAAACTGCAGCAGGTTCTGTCAGGGGGTGTCCAGTTGTTGGAGCCAAAAAAAAAAAAAGACCAGAAACTCAGCCTGGACATAGCTGGGTAGAGAAAATAAATGGAACGGAGGGAGGGACTAGAGATTGTGGCCCAGCACCGACTAAATCTCCACTCTTCAAATATTCCTGGTTAGGAGGATGTAGGCCAGTTTTTTTCTATTTTTTTTCCTAATGCCCCCAAAAGGAAATAATTTCAATTGGAGCATGAGGCATTGAGGTTAGATACATGGATAAACGTCCCAGCTATGACCATCAGGTGATGCAGAAGTAAGTTGCTTTGGGAGAAGCTGAATTGCTTTCTTCTACAGAAGCCTTACCGCCAGCCTGGCCGCAGCCCGAACTTACCAGTCAAGGTTGAATTATAATGTATTTGGGGAAACCTCCTCTCCCTCCCTGTTTTGACCCACATTCTGTCAACAACAACAAAAAACAAACAAAACAACTGCAAGACAATTTTCCTGCATATCTGTTTACCCATTCTCCTGCCCCTGCATCCGCTCAAGGCTCAGCCTGATGTCGGTCTCTAAGCCCAGCTCGCGGAGGGGTGGCTGAGAGCCCAGAACAGTCCTGCACGGCATCGCCTGTGCCAAGTCGGGTTGCCATTTCCATTTTCGTTAATTGAAGCAGCTTGACCCTTATCACTTCAGGCCAGCAATTTCCTGTCTGCCCGTGGGGAGCGTGTGGAGGACATGCCTCAGCAGGTCATTCTGTCCTTCCATCTACCTTGATGGCGCT